AAACAAACCAAACTGAAAAAAAAATGTTCGGAAGTAAAATGGCTACCGCGATAAATAATAATAATAAAAAAAATTTAACAACAACAGCAACAAAATCAGTTTTATTATCAGTGAAAAAAAAATCGCCTGTTGCTGCTTCACAAGATTTTTTTGTTCAAACTTTTTTTTTGTTCAAAAACAGCTCGCGGGTCATTTTGATGATGACTGACCGAATCAATAAATTTGTTCGTTGCTGTTGTTGACGAAATACTGTTAATTCTGTTGCTGCAACAACAACAACAACAACAAAAATGACATTGATAATTAATTTGGAACAACTTGACTCAATTGCTACGATGATGTGTTTAATATTAATTAAATTTGTTGAAAATTTCGCAACAAAAACAACGAAAAAAAATTGATCAAAAATCAAAAATTTTTTATCAATTTCTAATGGCGTGTGGTGGTGGGGGAAAAACGAAAGTGGGGAAAAATCGAATGAAAACATCGTCATTGAAAAAAAATATCGATGGTATTGAAATCGATGGATCGATAGATCGATCGAACGTTTTCACTAACTAACTATAGTAACTTGCTGCAACGACCGGCCTGTTTGGCAAAATTTTTTGAAGAAAAATTTAATTCAATTTTGTTTCAAAATTCCTTCATCCATTATCCATCGAATCAATCAATCAATCACCATTAATAGAAATTGTAAAATTATTTTTACTATTTCCTAACTTGGATAATGATAATGATGCTCCCAAGCATCTCAATTTCCTTGATAATCTCAACAACAACAACAACAACAACGATAACAACAACAACAAATTATACACAGTATCATCATCATTTTGGAACATCATCATCCACATCGACGAGCGAAAAAAAAGGTGAAAAAGAAAATATTGGCCACTTACTTGTTGCTATTGTCAATGTTATAAGTAACATTAACCATTTGATATGATGATAATGATGATTATGATATTTTATATAATGTTTATGATGATGATGTAATAGACAATTTAAATGATGAAAATTTTTCATTGTTGTTGTTGTTGTTGTTTGATCATCATCATAATCATCATCATTTATGATTGATATCGATGATGATGATGATGATTGTTGATAATTATTATTATGACAAGACATTTTTT